GTGGCAACAATTGTGAGGTTGGCCCAGGACCGGGCAGTGTTTTGTTCTGTTGTACACTGGGTCGCTATGAGTTGGCACTGACTCGATGGCACCTAACATCAACAACAACAAGGAAACTCAGTATATCTATAACTACAGGGAAACCCAGTTAGTACAAAGAATATTAAAATTTAAGCAGCAACTACCAAAGCCAGTGACGAAGAAATTGAAGAATTCTACCAACTTCTTCAGTCTGAAATTGATCAAACAAGCATTCAAGATGTATAGTGATTGGAATGCAAAAGTTGGAAACAAAGAAGAGGGACAGGTAGTTGGGAATTATGACCTTAGTGATAGATGTAATACTGACGATTACATGATAGAATTTTACAAGACCAACAACTTCTTTATTGCACATATCTTTTATCAATAACATAACAGCAACTATACATGTGGACCTTAACAGATGAAATAAATTACTGCAGAAATCAAATTGACTGCATCTCTAGGAAGAGATGGTGGAGAAGTCAGTATCAGCCAAAACAATGTCAGGGACTGAACTTGGAGCAGATCATCGATTGCTCACATGCAAGTTCAGGCTGAAGCTGAAGAAATATAAAACAAGTTCTCAAGAGTCAACATATGACCTTGAGTATATCCCACCTGAATTTAGAGACCATCTCAAGAACAGGTTTGATGTATTTGACACTAATGACTGAAGACTAGAGGAATTGTGGAATTATATCAAGAATGTCATAGATGAAGAAAGCAGGTCATTAAAGGACAGGAAAGAAAGAAAAGACCAAAATAAGTGTCAAAAGAGACTCTGAAGCTTGCTCTTGAATGTAGAGTAGCTAAAACAAATGGAAGAAACTAAAAAGTAACAAAGCTGAGCAGAGAATTTCAGAGGACAGCTCAAGAAGACAAAGTAAAATATTACAATGAAATGTGCAAAGACCTGGAGTTAGAAAACCAAAGGGGAAGAACACACTCAGAATTTCTCAAGCTGAAAGAACTGAAGAAAATGTCAAGCCTCAGGTTGCAGTATTGAAGGATTCTACTCTAGGCACTTAACAACAACAGCAACTACGTAGGCAGAATATTGAACAATGAAGGACATAACCAAAGAAGATAGAATGACTACACAGATTCATGGTACCATAAAGAATTGGTCAATGTTAACCATTTCACGAAGAACCAATGGTATTGAAGGAAGAAGTCCAAGCCACACTGAAGACTTGGACTTCAGGAGCAAAAAGCAAGACTCCAGGAGTTGATGGTATACCAATAGAAATGTTTCGGCACACTGAGGCTGTGCTGGAAGTATTCATTAGTCTATATGCCAAGAAATTTGAAAAACAGCTGATTAGTCAATTGGAAGAAGTCCATATGTGTATTAATTCCAAAGACTGGAGACCCAACAGAATGCAGAAATGAGAAAAACTTTGCTGAAGATAATTAAAAACCAGTTTCAGGGCTCTATCTCCATTCCTTTTGCAAGGTGGACACCTGTTCTTAACTCTCTTTATAAGAACGTCTATGCTTATAATAAACCTATCTTGCATTTTCCCTAAAAACAAAAACAGTTGCAGTAGTACATCAACAGAGAGCTATCAGAAATTCAGGCTAGATTCAAAAGAGGACAGGGGACAAGGGATATTATTACTAAATATCAGATGAATCTTGGCTGAAAACAAAGAATAGCAGAAAGATGTTTACTCGTGTTTTACTGAATATACAAAGGCATTAGACCGTGTGGATCATAACAAACTATAACATTGTGAAGAATGGGAATTCCAGAACACTTCATTGTGCTCAGGAGGAAGCTGTACCTAGATCCAGAGGCAGGAAAGATGTGTGCCAGGGTTGTAGCCTTTCCCCTTACTTCTTCAACTTGTATGCTGAGCAAATAATTGGAAAAGCTTGATTCCATGAAGAAGAACGTGGCATCAGGATTGAAGGAAGACTCATTAACAACCTGTGCTATGCAGATGGCATAACTTTGCTTGCTGAAAGGGAAGAGGACTTGAAACACTTGCTGATGAAGATCAAAGACCACAGTCTTCAGTATGGATTACAACTCAGTGTAAGCAAAACAAAAATCCTCACAACTGGATCGATAGACAGCATCATAATAAATGGAGAAAACACTGAAGTTGTCAAAGAGATCATTTTAGTTGGCTCCACAATCAATGCTCATGTTAGCAGCAGTCAAGAAATCAAATGCCATATTGCATTGAACACATCTGTTGTACAAGACCTCTTTAAAGTGTTATAAAGCAAAGATGTCAGTTTGAGGACTAAGGTGTACCTGGTCATAACCATGGTATTTTTAGTTGCCTTATATGCATGTGAAAACTGAACAATGAATAAGGAAGACCAGAGAAGAGTCAGTGCATTTGATGTATGGTGTTGGTGAAGAATATTAAAAGTACCCTGGACTGCCAGAGAAGAAACAAATCTGTTTGGTAAGAAGTACAACCAGAATCGGGCTGCGAACCACAAGGTCAGCAGTTCGAAACTACCAGCTGTTTTGTGGGAGAAAGATGAGGCTTCCTGCTCCTGTAAAGATCTACAGCCTCAGAAATCCTGTACAGAGTCGCTCTGAGTTGGAACTGACTCCACGGCACACCACCACCACCACAACCAGAATACTTCTTAGAAATGAGGATGGTGAGATTCTGTCTCACATACTTTGGACATGCTGTAAGGAGGGCCCAGTCTCTGAAAAAGGACATCATGCTTGGTCAAGTAGAGGATCATCAAAAAAGAGGAACATCCCCAACCCAGTGACTTGACCAATAGGCTAAAACATAACATAATAACAATTCTGAGGCTGGTGTAGAGTGGTCAGTGTTTCATTCTGTTACACATAGGGTCACTTTGAGTCGTAACTGAACAGACAACATGTAATAGCAGCAACAAAAACAATGATTTACAGCGGGAGCCTGTATTCCATTTTGAGTCTTGACATAAATTCAGTCTCCACTAAGTTCATTCT